TGCTTTCTGTGCTCATTCAGGCAATCAAGCTTTGCTAGTGAGAACTAATTTCGAAACTTCACATGTGGGCATTTGCAGAAATAAAAATTAAAATATCAATGAAAAAATATACACACTGCAAATCTTTGTGCACTTATCCAATCAGGGGACATACCATGTGGCTTCTCTGACCTATCACAAGTGATCAATGCAGTTCTGCTAAGATATACTCTTGAACAAGCATTAGAGTTTAAAAATAAAAAAAATATTACATTATTTATTAACTGCAAGTATGTCTGAGGGAATCCTGATTGCAAAAGTTCTGTAAGTAAAAGAACAGGGTTACATTTATTGGGTACATTATTTGTTGTTAATTATTTGCTCATGTCTATTGCTCAGCTATGGGAAGCATATTTAAAGTTCTTTCCTTATCTAAACCAACCAGAGCTGCTGAGAAAAATATAAAACATTTCCCATGAAACTATTCCTATTTTCTGTTGCATATTTTTTCCAACTAGCTCTACTTCTAAGCCACATTACTTTTATTTCTCATATCTGACTGCCCTATAATTCAATGTTTTCACAACTGGGGAGCACGTATCCCATAAGGGGCATCAGATCCTACTGGTGAGGAGCTGTACAGAGCTCTCTGCTGTCACATCTGCTTGTATTTTTGTGACTGTATTACCATTTTATTTTTTTGGAACATTTGTTCCTGATATTAGCCCTGTTGACTTTGCTGTTGGTTTATAGTTACTTGGTTCCAAGGGACCAGCACACTACTCTTGTGTTTTTTGGTTTTCCATGATGAGGGGTGAGGTTTAAGTGTGTGGTTTGTGAACTGTTTTTATTGAATTTAAACAATTATGAATATATATCTATTCATGTCAAATGTTGTGAGGACTTTTTTTTTAAATTTACCAAGATCTGTGCCTTGACAGTGTGCCCTTAGAGAACCATGAATGGCTGTATTGATGATAACTTCACTTTCATCAAAGATCCCAAAGTGCATCACAAAGTTTACACATCTCCTGCTCTCTGCTGAAGGACATGGTGACAAAATCTCTTCTGCCTTGGCTCCTACACAACATGGAGGGTGCCTAGCATGCTCAGATACTGTTTTGAGACCCAAAGTGAAGACAACTGCTGTCTCCATTCTAAACTGCGGGGACATTTAGTTCACCAGTATGTAATTATCCAGGGTGGAATTTGGCCAGGACACCCCTTGGGGTCTTTAATAAGGAGGAGCAGTCAGGAACAGATCAGTTTTAAATCTTCTCTGGCTAACACTGTAACTAATGAGAAAAGTTTAAAAAATAATTCTTCCCCCCCCCCACCTCTGCAATTTGCTTAATAATGGTGTATGGAGAGTTAAGCGAGAGGACTTGGCAACGGAGCTGGGGATGATATGCATTTGTATCATGCGGATGTGCAAGGCTATATTATCTAAGGGGAAAAAAAGGAATGTTGGCTAATCAGAGTCCAAATGTCAACTGGAGAGATTGTTGTGACAAGACTTTGTTTTTCTGAAATAATCACTGGCTAAATGCTGGAGTAAGGCCAAAGATTTTTTGATGAGGGCCTCCATAAAATAATGTCAAGGAGATCGAATAATCACAGAAGGAGCAAAGTCTTGTGAAGGACTGAAAAAAATATGAAGAGGTAGGAAACATTGAATCCCAGCAAATGGATGCTTCTTTGAATGGAAAGAGGTTAATAGGGAGTCAACGCAGAAGGATAATGAGGGCCTCTGCTGAGGGTGTGACAACATATGAAAGAGCACATAGGGAGGGGTGGATGCACTTAAAAAAAGGAAAAGTATTAATCATAGTCTCATAATTTAACAATGATACAACCTCCTGGGTATTATTTATTAAGCACCAAGCAGCGCTCAAAAAAAAAAAAAGCACCGCAATTGCGATCTGCAACTCTACTGCTGCCGCTTCAGTCTTCGGCAGCAATTGGGCGGCTGGTCCTTCCCTCCGAGAGGGAGTGAGAGACCCGCCACCGAATTGCCACCGTAGAGCCGGACATGCTGCCCCTCACCGTTGGCTGCCCCAAGCACCTGCTTGCTGGGCTGGTGCCTGGAGCCGGCCCTGGTACCTGATGTTGTGTGAAATAAGAAGTAGGCAACGTGATTTAGACATGCAGTGCAGGAGATGGTCCATTCTCAAAATCAGTGTTGTTTACATGCTCCCACCACCACCATATGCATATTGCTCTTTTTATGGTGGTTTAGCATTGATTGGCTTCATGGAGGAGGTGTTTTGAGGGATTTGCATGATTAAAGAGTGGTTATTTGGGCTCTGATTCTCAAGGCTGCTTAGGCACCTCTGAGGATCTCAGAGTTGGTGCACAAGGAAATGGAGCTGACCTGGGGGGTCATATCCAGTTTTGGTGGCCTCAAAAAAAAGATAGGTGTAGCTGTACCCGCAAGCTGCAAAGTTCTAGAAAAGAGCAATACATGTGGTTAAAGATATGAGGAGAGTCTCATCTGATAAAATTGCAAAGTCTAGAGCCAACGTTTTCACAAGTGTTCCCTGATTTCAGGTACCTCAAGGTTTGGAGGCCTGGGTTTTCAGAAGTCCTGAGTAGCCACAGCTCTTATCTGAAGCCAATTGAATAGATGGTGTGGATACTCAGCAGCTTTGGAATTCAGGCCAAGGGTGTTTCAGGTTGGGCACCCAAAATCAGTAATTTTGAAAATGTTGCCATAGGATTATTTAACCGGAGAAGGAAACAAGTTACAGGAGACATGATTGAACATTTATGATTATGAATGGTATATAGTCAACGACAGACAAAACCACTTTTTTAAAATGCTACTTCATAATATGAAAGTGTAACCCTTCTGCCCCTCTGAGTTGGCAGCAACAAGGGCCGGGTTCAGCATCTAGGGATTCCGTTTCAATAACGCAATGCAAAACCGGCTCGAGCCCCCACCCAGTGACCTGGGACAATTACATACCACCCCCCGGGCACCTCTAGGAGGCAATACTTCCCCTCTCGCAAGCACGGAGTCGTAGTGTAGCAAAAGCCTTTTAATAAAGGAGGGAAACAATGCGGCATTATGTTGGGGAAACACCACAAACAGGATTCATAACACAAACCATGAGCAAAAGACCCACCTCCAAGTAAGTTTGGCAGTGTCCTTTCCCCCTCAGGGTCTTAAGTTCAATCACCCCAAAGTCCAACAACCCCAAAGTCTCTGTCCCTGGTCAGTGCCACCCCAGAGTTCAAAAGTTTATCTGCAGAGTTTTACCCCCCCCAGCCTGGGCAGAAATGGGGGGGGGGCAACACGGGATGTTAAGGGGCACCTTACGTGGTCCGAGGCCGACTGCCCCACCTCTCCGTGGAGTTCTGCTGCAGCCTTTACCACGAATGGCTCTGCTCTACCAGCTGTGCCACGCCGCTCCGCTCCTCCAGCCGTCCCCGCAAACTGCTCTGCTCTGTTCCCCATTCCACGGGCCGCTCCAACCATCCCACAAACTGCTTGGCTCTGCCAGCTGCTTAGCAATATATCTTCAGGCTCCCCCACTGGTTAACACAGCACTCAGTGATCTCAGCTCAGCAATTTTAGCTCTTTTAGCTTGTAGTAGGGGAGCCCCAGTGCTGGTGCACCATTGGCCCAAAGCAAATTCAGTTCAGCAACTTCTAGCTAGACTCCTAATGGAAGCAAACTTAGCTCTGCTATTCAACAGTGGGGGGGGGGGGGGAAGGTTGCAATTGGTGGCCCAGGCCCTCAAAAGGGGCCCATCCAGTATACATACCTGTCCCCAACCTCTCTCAATTCACTGGGTTTTGTAACCCATGCCCCTTGTCTAGCGAGTGCTACTTAGTTACTGGTGAGTCCCTCTGTCATACAGCAGTTCCACTGGCCTTGATTCACAGAATCAGGGTAACAACACTTTATTCTTCCTGCCCCAGTAACAGAGAAACTGGGGATCCCACACCAGCCAAAGTAACCACTTTCAGTTGTTGTTGTCCCAGGCTAGGCGGGTGGGTGTGCCTATGCAAACAAGATCAGCCCTTGAAGTTCTTTTCCACCCTCGCCATAATTCACCACCAGATGTCAGGGTAGAGCTCATCCTGACTCTGCTTACAAAAGCAAAGAGACATTCCAAATTAGTGATCAGTATATTTAGGTGGAGTGCTGCTTCATACAGGGAGCAGTCAGTCTATGTAGTTCACAGCCTTAGGAAGCCAGTGAGTTAAATATTGACTTTTAGAGGGGCTGAATGAATTTATGAACAATAATATGTATCAGTTGCACTTATTAAGAACAGGGTAAATAAATCTCATGCTTCAAGTCATCAACTATATCAGTGGTCAGGAGCTCATATCCATGTAAAGAGTTGCACCATTGACCAAGTGCATTATGGGTTTTTTCCATCTTCCTCTGAAGTCTCAGGTATTGGTTGTGGTCTGAGATAGGATCCAGTTTGCCTATGTTCTTCATTCTCTCCATGTTTCAAGAAGGTTCACATACAGGATGAATGGGTTGTACCTGAGTCGAAAAATACAATAATGCATTCCACCCTATTCATCATGTAGAATAAGGGAAGCTGTCTGTGAACTGAGTTTATTAAAGAACAATGAAAGCTTTTTTAGAGGACCCAACCCAGGTGGAAGATGTTAATCTGAGCTGAATCAACAATGTTGCCGACAAGGAAACGTTTTGCTTGACACAATCCCTTACCTAGCAAGGAAGGATTTTCTGTCATCTTTTACGATGCAATCTATCCAGGGAAGCGCAGCCTATCAGCGTGCTCCAAGCACTGATTTTCTAATCAACTGAGACAGTAAATGATTTACGCAGGACAAAAAAAAGAAAATTCCTTTATAATTCTTCTTACATGAATGGCTGGGACTGAGTTTGGGCTCCTGGAAGTCAGACTTCCTGTGCTGCTGAATAGTTGTTTGTTCAGGATTTTATTTATTGGAGCATGAAGTGATTTTTGAAGATTCCCTTCCTCTATTCTTTCTTTTTTAAAGGGAGCCACTGAAGAAAATTGGAAGGAATGACGCACTCAGCAGTCAAAGATGTCAATGGGCTGGAGAACCCCAGTTTTATGGTGAGTTTATTGCTTTAAGAAAAATATAGCTTGCATACGGTCTGTATGAGTTCTGAGAAGGAAAGCTAACAGGAGCAAGGGAGGGAAGTGGAAAGAGAAGCAGCAGAGAGAGAGAGAGAGAGAAGGGGTGTGTTAGAGTGACTGAAAGGGGGAGGGAAGAAAGACAGATTGAACAGTCTTTCTAGGGTCCTTTGTAAAGATGAGGCTGACATGGTCTGGTATCTTCTTCACTAAATCCTGTTGCTTGTACAATAGTAATTTAAAGGCTCTTTTGCTTCTTTGGAGTGCTTTTCTTGTATTCTATAAATAAGAGAGAAAAGATGAGAGGCGATGAACTGACCCTGATTCTACTATAGTCTACATATCTGTTTCAGAAGAGATTAAACCTTCTTCCTCTTGATACTGTGTCCCTTGGTTGGAGGTTTTATGTGATGACAAGGCAGAGAAAATTAAAACTGGTGAAGGATTTTTTTTTCTTTTTCTTTTTAAATGGGTCTATTTCAAAAGAGGTAAATTGACAGAGAGGTTGATGGAGAGAATTTGGGGTGAACTAGGCACAGTGCCCTGCAGATTTCCAGTACAGTAACAAATTCACGAGTGAATTATATGCGGTGTTACTAGCAGGTGTGTAACAGTGCTGGAAATACTGGAAAACATATTAGAAGGAGGAGGAGGAGAAGGGATGGTCTTGTGGATAAACCACAGGACTGGGAACTAAGGAGATGGGGAACTTTGTTCTCTCCTTCAGGATACAAGTAACTTCCGTTAAAATCAAGAAGAGTTGCTCATCTCCTGAGAGAGGGTTAAGAATTAGGTATCTGGATACTGTACTCTGCCACAGACTGTTCTGTTTGACCTTGGGCAAATCAGTTACTGCTCTGTGCCTCAGTTTCCCCATCTGTAAAGCAGGAAAAATAAAACCTAGCTCCCTTCCAGGAAGGCTATCAGGGTAAATGGGTTAACACAGGTAAGGGGCTTTGAGAGCCTCACGTAGAAGGTGCTGTAGAAATACAAAGGGTTATTCTTTTTATTATTAAAATGCTCCCAGACACAGCTCAGTTCAGGCTTCTAACTTCCCTAAAGATTGACTCCTCCCTTACCTTGATCGTCTGGGTTCTTTGTGTTTCAAGCAGTTCAGTTTTTATTCTGTCAAGAAGATTTTTGTTCAAAATAATGATGATGGCTCTGATTTTATGCTGCGAACCAGGCAATCGCGGGGGTCGACCTGGATGTCTGAGCTCGCAGGATTGAGGCTAATAATTGTAATGGATAGGTAATGAATCTTTTGCCGCAGGCAACAAGACAGAATCCAAGAGTTGTCCTGCTCAGGCCCCCTGCTGCAGAAGAGGCAAGGGCTTGTCCTGTCACAGAGACTTCTGCTTGTTCCCGCTTCTCCCAAAACGAGAGGTCGATTCCATTCAGCAGTGCCTCGGGCTCTCTCCTTCCCAAGGTTCCCGGGCAGGATCAGGCATTCATGTGGAACTGGCAATGGTACATGCACTGTACTAGTTACTTTGCTATAAGCTTCTTTTCTGAACAAGAGCTCCGGAAAGTGAGCTTGCTTCTGTCTGGACCCAGCTATTTTTAATGCTCCCAGCCTGTCTACATAAGGACAAGAGAGAGTGTTTTAAAATGCATTAGCCAATATGTTTTAGGCCTTTGCGCTTACAGTAGACTAGCTTGTCTACTGAGGATGAAGGTCCAGATATCTGGATATTTGATGCAAATAATGCCATGTCATACCTACATATTTGAAATATGTGCATCATTTGTCTTTTTTATTTTGATTTGAAAAGTTGTATTTATTTTCTGCTCCAGTTTCTTCACTCTACAGTATCATTTGCTTTGCTCCCTTCAGAGGGAGACTCTCTCTCTCTCTGGGGGGAGGGGGGGTGCTGTTTCAGACACACCTGCCCAGCTCCCTCATGCCTGCGATCATAAAGACCCACTCCAGGCTCTCCCCAGCCATTGCTGCTCCTCCTCTCCCCAAAGTCCCAGCTCCCACTGTGAAAGCTGCTCACATGGGTGCAAGACACTCCCCTCCCCTACTGCACCCCACCGTCTGTGCATGCTGAGGTCTGGCTGAAAGGGAAGGTGAGCTGCTCTGCACACCTACTTCTGTCCAGGGATGTTCCATGAGGGAGCCTTTCTTTCTTGTCAGGGCGGGGTGAGCCTTAGGAGTGCGGCAGGGTAGTGGCCCCCAGCCTCCCTTCAGTTAGGCGCTCCCTGACAGCACCTCACTGGGTCTCTTTGTTTCTTGGTTGAGCAGAGTTCTGGGTTGGTGGGCACTGGGTTGTCTGTGCGTATAGCATGCTTGGCCACGGAGGGGGAGTGTGAAGGAGGAAGAACGTGCCTTGTGGTGGTACAAAACCACTGCTATAGCCCAACACAGGAGTGGGGTGGGCAGCACGTTCGGCTTTTCTCAGCTACAAAGGTAGGTCAGCACACAGTTTGGCCTGGTAAGAAGGGGAAGGATAAAAGGAAGAAATGGGCGGGGGTTGGGGGGGGTAACCCAGAGGACTGCGCATCTCAAAATGACGAGAGTTTCATTGGATCCTCTCTCACTCTCACACACACTCACTCACTCACAGTTTTCACATTGTTTTTAAATGCACTTCTTGTTCCCATCCCAGCCAGGTTGGAGTTAGTGTGAATTAAATTACCCCCCTTCCCACATGTTGACAAGAACCTGGGAGACATACACAGATCTGACTGAGGTCAATGAGAGTTGCAGGTGATGGATACCTCTCTGAATGAGGCTCTAACTGAGGAATGTTCTGTTCTGGTTCCTACAGGTTGAAGATGGAGACCAATACAGTGCCTTGTCTGAACTCGATGCTGAGGGCCTAAAGGAAAAGAAGAAAGACCAGGGCAAGAACTGCAGTACACTAGTGTACTCTGTCACTGACATTCCACCATGGTACCTCTGCATCATGCTAGGGATTCAGGTGAGACTAGCAAGAACATGGTGGAATGGGGTGGGCAGAGGTTTATTGGCTTGTTCATAGCCCCGCTTAACAAGTAAAATGTGAATTAGGAAATGGCTCATATTTACTGGCCATGCCTGAAACCATCTGCTTGGCTGTTGGTGATGTCAAGTCATCTCTGTTAAGTGCATGGGGCCAGATTGTTTTCGTTTGATATTTATTTACATTGTGCTCGATGCAGTACAAACCGGCAGATGCAGTCCCAGACCCAGCGAGCTTGCACTCTAAGGACAAACAGGAACAGACAGCCCATTGAATAACGCCAGTGTTCCAGAATTATGGAAAATATCTAAAGGCTCCAGGCCCTCTGTGACTCCATTACAATAAAAGCTAAGCAGAAGTAGCACGAAAAAGAAACTGTACAGCTTCTATCAGTTTATAGGACTGTGCGAGAGAAATACACCCAACTGGGGTGATACATTGCAGGCCAATGGAGTAGAATATCTGTATGGTAAGATGCTACCAATGATTAAGCTAAGATAGTGATGCTGACTTTGTTTGGATACTGATGAATAGTTTGTGCTTTGTTCATTTCTTAAAGTGATCTTGTCAGTTTAGTTTAGACTCAAACCTGGGGCTCTGTAAAAATAAGGTTTTGTGAAACCCAAGATCACTGGAAATATTTCCATCATTTGTTTTAATTAAAAAGATTCTAATGAAAGCAACAGTTATTTTGGGGGGAACGTAAACATTTCCTGCAGTGTTAGCACCCCAAACGTTGCAGCACCATACTAGTGCATGGGAAGCAGAAAGTGATGTTGACAAGGAACAAAAGCTCTATTTTCATTGCCCAAGCTGAGTGAACTGCACAATCAGCATTAACAGTGAAAAGAAAATTGGATTTTAAAGATTCTTTTAGTGTGGATGACTAATTAAAGGTCTTTACACACATACGTATACTGGGTTTATTAAAAAGGTGGGGCCTGATTTTTCCACTTCTTTGCATCTTACGTAGCTATTTACACTTATGCAAACAGAGTATAAAATACTACCACCAGGGTAAATGAGTGGACAGTTCTAATTTGGTAGTATTTTACACCAACTTCGCTGATTTCCCCCAGTACTGGCTTGTGGCCTAAGGGAGCATGAGAAGTGTCATTAGGAATACTGCAGGCTGAGGGAGTTCGTGGTGCCCTAGAGCAAAGCAGAGTGGCTTGAAACACACATTTGGCATAAATCCAACCTGATACTTCCCTCCAGTAACCTGCCCCCCTTTCTTGGTAGAGAGCCCCAAAAATAGCTTTCTCCAGACCCTGAATCATAGAATATCAGTGTTGGAAGGGATCTCGGGAGGTCATCTAGTCCAACCTGCTGCTCAAAGCTAGGAAATGCGCTAGTTCCCATCAGACAGCCCTTGGGAACTAGGTTCTGTTGTTTCTACAGAGTGCCAAGTGGTGGTAAGGTGAAAAAAATGGATAAGGCTGGGATGGGTTGTTAAAGCTCTGACAGATACTTTAGAACAGCCCCACCAGAAAATGAAACTTGTAAGAAAAAATTAAGGTTATCAAGAATTAGTGTTATTGGTGTCATTTGAGTCCAGATCTACAAATGGCATTTCGCATTCCTTCAACAGTAGAATAGTTATACTGGACAAGTACTGAGCCCTTTTTCATGCCGGGTCTTTTCTCTGTGGTTCATAGCACTACCTGACAGCTCTGGGTGGTCTTGTAGCCATCCCTCTGATCCTGTCCAAAGAGCTTTGCCTGCAGCACGACCCCCTGACCCAGGGTCACCTGATCAGCACCATCTTCTTTGTCTCAGGAATTTGTACCCTCCTTCAAGTCCTCTTTGGAGTCAGGTAGGCAAAAGCCTTGCAATATAACCTTATGACATTATTGACATGAATTGTGACCGTATAGATCATTGTTGCAACCAGGGTCCTATGGTTGCACCAGGTTTTGTACAGAAAAGGCCAAGTGGGGTGTCTATGGGAAGGTTGTAGTTTGCTGGTTGTTATTATGCTGTCTATATGTGTGTATCATTTTTGTATTCAGAGTTATGAATATTGGCTATGTCCTTGTTTGATTCTAAGTAGCCTCTGTGATGCATTTGGTCTGCTTCTTGAGAAAGGGCTATTCTCAGTAAGTGCCCAATCAAGAAACACTTAACTGACAATGGACTTGGGGAGATGCCAATCTGAGCCACATCTGAGCTTTCCTGGGAATAGTCAAACTAACATGTAAACAATGGTGTCGGCCTGCAAAAGCTGAATCATTCATAGACATGTGACTTGCCCAGATGACTGCAAACTCCATCTTGTTGAGGGAATTTTACACAGGAGAACAAAAGGGGTTTTCACCCACAAGAGAGAGACTATATAAGGCCTTGGAAGCCTCTCCATTTTGTCTTCAGCTGGCTCAAAAGATAGCTTCTCCACCCCAAAGAGATGCCTGAAAGAAACTGGAACAGAGGACAGTAACTACGGGGGTGTGAGTGATTGCTGGACCCAGATTAGGAAGGAGTCTAGTCTGTCAAAGAAGCTTATTGGAACATCTCTGAGGGTGAGATTTACCTGCATTTAGTTTCCTATTTTATTAGGCTTAGATTTGCGTGTTTTTATTTTATTTTGCTTGGTAATTTACTTTGTTCTGTCTGTTATTACTTGGAACCACTTAAATACTACTTTTTATATTTAATAAAATCACTTTTTGCTTATTAATTAACCCAGAGCACGTAATTAATACTTGGGGGAGCAAACAGCTGTGCATATCTCTCTATCAGTGTTATAGAGGGTGAACAATTTATGAGTTTACCCTGTATAAGCTTTATACAGAGTAAAACGGATTTATTTGGGGTTTGGATCCCATTGGGAGCTGGGTATCTGGGTGCTAGAGACAGGAGTACTTTCTAAGCCGTTTTCAGTTAAGTCTGCAGCTTTTGGGAGACGTGTTTCAGACCTGGGTCTGTGTTTGTAGCAAGCTAGCATGTCTGGCTCAACAAGACAGGGTACTGAAGTCCCAAGCTGCCAGGGAAAATGGGCTCAGAGGTAGTCTCAGCACATCAGGTGGCAGTCCCAAGGGGGTCTTGTTGTATCCACCAAGCAAAGTATTAACAACTTCAACAGAACTTTATTTACAGTGGAAGTCTCTTTTCCAAGCTGTAGCTGCACACTCTGTAACTCTCCCAGCCTCCTCAACTCCTCCCCCCTCCTTCCTGTTTCCTGTCCCAACAGCCACTGCTCCCAGTTCCAATAATCACATGCAGCATCTAAACATCACATTCCCTCCTCTCTTAAGAAACTTTCCAAATTAAAATAAACATTGTTGTTCTAACCACAGGAACAAATATGAAACAAGACACTATACTGTTGGCAGGAATATTACACTGAAAACACTGTAGATACTACATAACATAGACGACCACCTGCCTGGACTAAAGACTAAGTCTGACAGGCTGTCTCTCAAGCCCCGGTTCCAGTGCAATGTCTTGTTGTGTTGGTTATACAGTGAAGTCATCCAATGCAAACTGGGTGTTGGCATAATCTCCTCTTGGTGCATAGGCAGGTGCAAGATAAGAAGCATTCCATACCCGCCCATCAGAAAATCGATAGGTGTAAGGTCCCTTCTTCTCTATGATTTTAAGAGGAGCTGTGAATTTATGGTCCGCTTTGCGTAAGATTCCAGGTTTTCGTATCCTAACAAAGGAACCACACTCAAACTTTGGTTCCTTAGCACCCCGCCATTTGTCTGTGAAAGCCTTAGACTTTGCTTGGTTCTGTTCAACTGTCTTTCTCGCATCATCCTTGTGTGGGGCATCAGGTCGTGCCTTTAACAATCCAGCAAGGTTCAATTTAGTAGTCATCTGTTTCCCATGAAGTAACTCTGCGGGTGATGTTTGCGTGGTGGCATGTCGTGTAGCCCGGTATGCTTGCAAGAAATCAGTAGTGAAGGGTATCCACAATTGCCCTTCCAGTTTAGCTGTTTGCAAACTCTCTTTCAATCTTCTGTTAAATCATTGGATTTCCCCATTGGCTTGAGGGTAATATAGGGATGACCTCCTGTGTAAAATGTTCCTCTCTTCTAGAAAAGTTTCAAACTCCAGGGAAGTAAATTGACTACCATTATCTGAAACCAGTTCTTTGGGGGTACCTTCCCGGCTAAAAACTGAAGAGAGGAACTTAATTACTGTAGCAGAAGAAATTTGCGATGTAAACGCCACCTCTGGCCATTTGCTGAAATAGTCTATTAAAGTGATGGCATAATGACAGTCAAGTGGAGCAGTAGCAAAGGGTCCTACAATGTCAATTGCCACTTTTTCCCATGCAGATTCAGGAAGAGGAATAGGCTGTAATGGAGGGGTACATGTCACTGCTGTCTTATCATGCATTTGGCAAGTGACACAGGATTTTATGAGTGCTTCAGTTTGAGAGTCCATCCCTGGCCACCAATACAGATCCCATAGTCGTTGTTTGGTTCTGACAATTCCTTGATGAGTATCGTGTGCCAGATGTATGAGTTTTGACTGTAATTCTTCTGGCACAAGTAGCCGGTGTGTACCTCGTAGCACACAGCCATCGAGCAAAGAAAGTTCATCCCGAACTCTAAAATAAGGCAGCAAAACTGGGTCAAGGTTTTTAGGGTTACTGGGCCATCTCTTTGTCAGAAATTCCCGTAATTTTTGTTGAATTGGACACGCTGAACAAGCAGCTTGAAATTGTTCTCTTGTAACTGCAGTAAGAGTGCTTGTAATAAGCGCAACTACTACATCCTTATCCTCCGGTGGACCATCTGGTGAAGGCAAAGGCAGGTGAGAAAGGCAATCAGCTACCATATTTTGGTTTCCAGGCTTATATTCCAGTTCATAATTGAAAGAAAGTAGTCTTGCAGACCATCTAGCAATACGATATCCTGCTCTTCCCAGTCCTTTCGCGGTGAGCAACGTTGTCAAAGGGCTGTGGTCTGTGCGCAACTTGAACGTGCGGCCCCACAGGTAAGTTCTCCATTTTTCAGTAGCCCAGACACAGGCAAGTGCTTCTTTTTCAACTGTAGAATATTTTCTCTCAGCATTACTTAGTGTCCTTGAAGCAAATGCAACAGTACTCTCTGTGTTGTCCTCATGAAGTTGTGTGAGGAAGAGCCCCAAGTCCATAATCAGAAGCATCAGTAGTTACAATTGTGGGCAATGCGGGACTGAATAATGCAAATACTGGACTATGTACAATCAAGTTTTTCACCCTTTCGAAACTAACTTGTGCATCCGTTGTCCACACTAAGGTTGAACTTCTCTGTAGTAATTCTCGTAACGGTTCAATGACAGAAGCATAATTGGGAATGAATTTTGCATATTAGGAGGTAAGACCCAAGAAGAAACGTAAGGTTTGCAAATCTGTTGGAGGAGGAGCATTTGAAATTGCCAGGATATGATCTGGATCAGGTTTTAGTCCAGCCTGTGAAATTGTATGCCCCAGAAAGGAGAGTTCAGTTTGTCTAAATTTGCATTTGGACCTATTGAGCTTGAGGCCTGCTTTGCTGATGCAGTTTAGTACAGTCTGCAGGTTATTGTCATGCTCCTCAGTAGTATTTCCAAACACAATATCATCCAAATAGCACTGAACTCCATGTTGATTCTTCAGAATCAATGACATCATTTTTTGAAAGGCACTTGGGGCTGATGCGAGACCGTATGGAACACGTTTAAAACGAAATAGTCCCTCGGGTGTAGTAAATGCTGTGAGGTCTCTGCTATCTTCATGCAACATAACCTGGTGGTATGTGCTCTGCAAATCAAGAGTAGAAAACATCTTTGCTCCACGGAGTTCTGCAAATACTTCCTTTATGTGAGGAAGAGGATGGCTGTCAATCACAATAGCTTTATTTGGCTCCCTTAAGTCCACACAAAGGCGAATGTCTCCACCCTTCTTCTGCGTCACTACTATAGGTGAAACCCATTCCAAGGAGTTAATCTCTTCAATAATGTCCTTTTGAACAAGTTTTCTAAGTTCCTCTGAAACAGCTTCCCTGACTGAAAATGGTAAGCGCCGTAATTTGTGTCGTAGAGGCAACACATTATTCCG